ATGCCCAAGCGTCGTAATACGTTCTCCCTCGCACGTAGTCCACTTTCGTAAGAAGCGACTAGAGCATCAGCCTGGAGAGAGTCATGATTTTTCTTGAATAATGAAGTTGACGACTTCCTAGAAATCTAAGAAGAAAGAAGGAGAAACTTACGTATTCTTGAATATCGCTGACAACCAGTTTCCGCAACTTCATTAACTCGTGTATTTCGAGGTTGTCCACGCCACCATCTCTTCAAAGAGGGGGTTTATTTTGAAATCGTGGGCTGACTTCATAGTCCAGCTTTCCCATTCAGCGCTTCGCATTTTTAGTCACCATTTCGAGGTTGTCCACGCCACCATCTCTTCAAAGAGGGGGTTTATTTTGAAATCGTGGGCTGACTTCATAATCCAGCCCGCCCCATCACCGCTCGCATTTTCACATCAGTCTCGTTTTGTGCGCACAAACTGTTGACCATTTCTCATATGCGAGTGTTAATGGGGTGGCCCACTGTGTTAGGAAGCTCAGAATTGGTAGAAACTGCTTTCCAGCCAATCGCCTACCGATATAATGTCTCGAAAGTTTTGGCCTTGATGTCGTGGTTGTGCCAGTCGAGAATTTCCACGCGATTGTTGAAAATGAACTTCCTTAAGGCGGTAACAACCTTAGTCATGTTAGAAGTGTAGTCCGAGACGACGGCCGAAATCGAGTGACCAAAGGTGTAGACACTTTGAGCGTCAAGCAGAATCGCATAGCGCTCGAGGAAAATCTGAACGAGATAACAGTTGAATAGACCTGAGTCAGTAAAATGAATACAAGCAATACAAGGACTGCGTTTGGACATAAGTCAGAGACACCACAATGGACATTTTGTAGGGTTAAGTATGGGTTCTATGAACTAAACCTCTACGATCGTTTAGCAGGGTACGATGCGAGAGAGACCACACATCAATTTGACTATGCCTTCATTGGAGTGTTGCTTTCCTTTGCTGGCATGGGCGTCGCAGCAGTTACTTCGATTGGTTACAGCGTAATGGACCACTTTTAACATTACCCACACGACACCGTACTGCTGATATAGTCACGATCAGTCAGAACGGTGATACGAGTCATGGAGTGAGCTCACGAGTGGCGTTTTTACCGCTGCTCCTTCCTGAATCAATAACCAACCGGTCTCAATTGGTGGAAAAAGCGTAGGCGGGCTCATCCCGCCCTCCCTGACACCGCTACGACTGACTGCAACGGCATCAGCTGTACACTACGATAAAAGCGCTACAAAAATGGTCTCGTTTTCCTGAGTCTGAAGTGGCCCCACAGGAACTGGTGATTCCGCTCACTAGAGACCACTCAAAGCCGAAGATAAAAATAAGCTTCCTGGAGCAGAAAAGGATACACGACCATCTATACTACCAACGGAAAGTACACGAAAGACTGTCCCAATGTGCCTGTCGACTGAGGGGAATCTGCAGTGGAATCTGCAGTCATTCTACTAGCCTGTACTTCTGTAACGAGAGCTACGAGAGCTATTACACCATTTCCAATCAAAGGGTGTGCTTGACCAGTTTCGTTGTTGCTCGTGTAGAATAAGGTTCGTGAGTGACCCTAACGAGAGTGGTACTCATGAAAACAAACAGATTTTCAATGCCTCAGTTTCTCTCGAAGGAATAGGAATCACTGAATGCTTCAGTTACTTGCAACTAGATCGGTGGATCGGTACAGGAAAGGTCTGGCACCAGAACTGAGCAGGAGCAAGAGCAGTTCCAGGAGCGTCCGACAATAGCGAAGTAGCGAAAAATCTGGAGAGCCCGTAACAATGCACCCGGCCCTTGGACACCGCCATCGTTCTTTTGTTGTTGCTTGCTCACTGCAACAACTGGTGAAGAACGGGTTGGCGCCGCGCCGAATCCAGCATCTCTGGCACATCCTAGCATACGCAGCGAACATGATTGCACAGC